AGCCAAGGGTACCCCGGGGAGCACGGACCCGTGCGGAGTTACTCCCGAGAAATCCCACTGACCTGCATTATGGGGCGCCGCTGAGGGGAGCCGGGCCCAAGTCCAGTGGTGGTGGGGGGAAATGTCTGGGTGCTGCTCTCGACGACGGGGAGGGCGGAAGGAGCCCCTCTCTCCTGGCTCTGCAGGTCTGAAAGGGTTAAAGCCGCCGAGCTCTTGGCTAGAGAGGCCGATCGCGGCAGGGAGGTGCTTTTTTGGGGCAGGACCGCAACTGTTTGCTTCTGAATGGGGAGAGGGGAGGGGGCTTCGGATGAGGCGCGGCGGCGAAGAGTCCGGCAGCCGGATCCTGGGTCTCCTCTCGATTAAGTCACCATCTCCGTCTGGGAAGAAAGACGGTCCGCTCTTGAGCCCCCCCGCTTCTCCCTCCCCGCGATTTTCGCGGGTCCCCTTTCTTGTTATTATATATTGTAGACCCAGTCACATTAGAGCTTGCTATAGGAGCTCCCCAGTCACCAGAATAAGCGCGGTAGCGTACATCAAAATTGTATAAGAATTAGCATTTTGAAATATGGCTTGCAGCACTTCATTCTAATGAAGATATAAGTACAGAATGACAAACCTTAAGAAGGACTCGCAAACGGACAGTGTACTAGAACTCCGTCGTTTGTCTGAAACTAGCACTGTAGTATTCTATATGTACTGCTAAGCTTTATATTGCATATTATAATGTTATGGTTGTAATTTTGTTTATAATTGAATTCTAAAACATTGCAGATAAAAATCAACTTATATTGTTTATCTGTACACGGTGATTTACTGTTTTACTGGTCATCTTCCAGTCCAGCAGCACATTTGAAAGCACGGCTGGAATGTTTGGGCTTCAGCCTAGTATCAGCTGGTGGATGCTGGGCTTTGGTCTACATTTAATTTTTTTTAAATTAAGGCTATATTTTATGTTTAAAAATAGTTCCAGTGTGTATTGGGAAGTTCAAAAATCTGCACCTTCCTGTTCACACAATGACCAAAGATCGAGCACCATCTATCCAGAACAATTCCACGAAAGTAGGTTTTTGGGGGAAAGCGTGGTGAAGCAAGGGAAAACCTGAAAAGTGAATGATGGCATGTCAATGTTTATTTATTTATTGACTTTATATCCTTCGTTTCTCCCCAAAAGGGACCCAGAGTAGCTTGCATGGTTCTCCTCTCCCCTGTTTTATCCTCACAACAACCTTGCGAGTTAGGTTAGGTTGAGAGCATGTGATTGGCCCAAGGTCACTCAGCAAGTTTCACTGGCAGAGTGGGGATTCAGGCCTGGGTTTCAAATGTTGTATGGAAACTCAGGAAAACACACACACACATACACACACTAACACATGCACAAACACACACTGCTGTTTGGGAAGCAGTGTTAAATGTTTGTATGGAAACAGCTTTTATTTTACATTAGGTGTGGGGAGTAGGTGAATATAGGGCCAGGGAAGGATTCCAGGTTTGTCACACGGCAGGCGAAGGAAGGGGGCAGTCGACAGGACCAGAAGAACAGCAGCTGTCTGACTGAGCAAGAGAGTTGCAGTGCAAAGAGCCACCTAAGGAAACTGTGCCCATGCAAATAGGAATGAGTGGCTCCCCAGTTCCTTTCCCCAAATACGTAGATGTACCGTATGACTAATACATCCCTTCCAAGCCACTGGCTCCTGAGTTTGGGGAAAATCCAATTTCTCAGTATTCTTGAAATGATTCAGGGAATTAAATACTGTGACTGATGCCCTCCCCCCATCACAGAATTTGGGCTTCTTTGTTGTGAGTGCTATATCCTTTCATTCTAGCAGTCTTGGCTGGTGGATTTTCAAACTATGTCTTGTCACAAGGTTGCACAATTAACCTTGATAAGCATCGTATTCAGATTTGGGGGAGGAGATTTGTGGCAGGCCCCAAATGCCTCTGGAGGGAAATGAGTTATCTTATGGCAGCCAATGAGCTTCGGAAATATTTGCATAGAGGGAGACTTCTTAAAGTTTAGGGAATTGAAATGGAGCTCAGCCGAGGAACTGGGTTTGGGTTACTTCTGTCCAGGAACCTCTTTGTCCCAGGAAGCTGAGGGTCTCTCACCATGGCCAAGGCCTCAATGCTCTTCCTGTTTCTCACTTCTTTTTGGGGTAGGATGGCGACTTCATTAAATAAATACCTAATTAGCCAACTTTCCTCACTTTCTGTTTCTCCATTTGATGGCAACATTGAGAATCCTCTCAGTAAGTGTGATCCTTCCGTTCCATTTAATTTGTGCTTCTGATTTTGTTTCCAGGTTGCAATGCCCAATTTACAATGACCCAGCCGCCCTCTGTGTCAGCTTCCATTGGAGAGACTGCTACAATTTCCTGTAGAAAAAGTAGTGGGAGCATAAGCGACTACTGGAACTCCTGGTACCGACAGAAGCCCGGCAGTGCTCCCATACTGCTCATATATGCTGATAGCAGCAGAGCCTCAGGCATCTCTGACCGATTCTCAGGTTCCCTGGACAGCTCCGCCAATGCTGCTGTCTTAACCATCTCCAATGTCCAAGAAGGGGATGAGGTCAATTATTACTGTTCATCTTATGACGGCAGTAACAAGCACACGATGATACAACCACATGGGGAAGTGGGACAAAAACCTCCGTGCAGCAGGTGTGCTTTGCATGGGTTGTGCTTGGCTGATGCACCAGCTGATTCCCCTGTGACAAGACTGGTCAACTAGATGTGAGATATAATGGCATCATCCATGAATTTTATCAGGCTGAGCGTGGCCCCCTTAGCAAAAGCTTTGCTCCCCCCCCCAAGAAATCTGGCTACAGGCCTGCCTGTGTTTCATGCTGAATAGATGTGAAAGAGAGAGAGGGTTTAAAGGCAGAATATTGAGTTGTGTGTGGGTGCCTGGGTGCTCAACCTACCTCCCATGACTGCTTTTTCCTTTGCAACCCCATCCTCACCTGCTGTTACTTTAGCTGGACTCATAAGCCTCTGGAAATGGTGCGGGGAGCATTTGGCACCCTCTACTGGCTCCGGCTTCTCCTCTTCAAACCACCCCTTGCCTTCATACCAAATGCAGCTCTGCCACCATTGTGCCCAGCGAGGCTCAGAGGAATTATCTGGACCTTTTATATAAATGGCCCCAGTTGAGACTGTGGCTGAGTTCAGATGTCACACAAAACCATAAATAAAATCCTTGTAATACCCTTTATTAAGACCAATGCAAAATGACCCAAAACAGGGCACGTCCTTGCACATATTAAAGCTGAAAGGCACACAGATTGCCAGATTTGGAGAAAATGGTTGAGTGTGCATATGGAGACAAACATATTCCGTGTGCTCTCCTGGTACTTGTGGCTGAAGTGCCAGAGATGTAGCTACAGAAAAGCGCCATTGTGTAGAAACTCCTTACCAGAAACACATAGGTTATGTATGTATGATGTAGCACAGCAATGGCTGGGAGGCGTCACTGTTACCCCACAGCTATAGTTTTTTTATTTAAGAAAAGTCATAATTCAGTTCTGTGATCTAATGTGGTTTAAAAAGGCAAGTGAAGGACGATGAAAGGACTCCAAGTGTGCCTCAGAGCAGGTGAGAGATGGGGGGGAGGACAGGATTTGGGGGGGGGGACAGAGGAGAAGCAGGCAGAAGAAGCCATAGATGCCTGATCTTTCAAGCCAGCAGCAGATTTGAAAGCAGAGCAGAAACTTTGAGGCTTCAGCCTAGTGAGCCCCATTGGGTGCCAGTCTTTGGACTATTTGTATTCTTTAAAACATTAAGGCTATATTTAATGTTTAAAATGAGAGGAGCAGTTTCTAAAGACAGCAAGTGGCACTTTGTACCTTGGAAGCTCTGATCCCTAATCTCGGGCATATTAGAATGACTTTAAATAGGTGTCGCCATCCTCGTGGCAGCCAAGAGGGTACCCTCACATCTCCTTTGGTCCAAAGTTTGAGCCCAGAGCCCATTAATTCCCACCATCTCTGTGGATTCCCAAAGAAATAACGAGCACTTTCGACAATGGATACACAGCTTTTTCTTTCTTTCTTGTTTCTGTTATTTGAATATAAGACTTCAAGGCTGAAGCTCAGACACACCTTGTGTACTCTTTTGTTTTTGTTCATTAAACTTTGATATATATTGGATGCTCAAGGCCTGATCTCTGTCAACACACCACACCTCTTTGGTCTTGCCATCCAAAGAGAGGTAAAGGGGAGGGGTAGCTGGTGAGCTCATCATCCATTGAGCACTATAGTTCAAAATCTGAAAGGAGTGATTTATTGTTCCCATGGTAACAACTAGTCTGAGCGAAGCAGGAGACACGGCGACTGGGCGGAGGCTCTAAATGGTAATGCAGATACAGAATGCTAGATGTACGCATATGTCTAGTGGGGGATACTCTTTTAGATTTGTTGTTGGTTCCTTGGGAGAAGTTTGGTACCCCCCCAGGAGTGAAGGAAAAGGGGTTGCAGAGCAGAGACCTGGGACAGCTGTGGTGGTTTTTTTTAATTAATTAATTAATTTATTTATTTATTTATACTTTCAATTTGTACCCCGCTCACCCCCGAAGGGCTCTGAGTGGCTTACATGGTGCATGGTGCAGAGACCTATGCAGAAACCCTAACTATGGCCACAGTATGTCTGGGGTGTGGGGAGCCCTACCAGGTACCCTCCCGGCTCCGATCGTTCGTTTATCCGGCGAGTGGGCGACTTCTTCCAGTTTTTTCTCCGGTGCGTCTTCTGCGGCCTCCGCTGTTCTTTCGGCTCTCTGGCGACTCCTCTCGGGGGCTGTTGGTTATGGGCCCTGTTGCGCAACGTCCTCTTTTGCCCACTAGAGAATCTGAAGTGACACCATTCTGAAGTCAGTGGGCATAGAAAGGTGTAAGTGTGTTAAATACTAGGTTCTGGATGCATTGCAGTGATCAGCTCTAGTTTATTTAGTGATTTCAGGAACACAACAAGGATACCCAGCAGGGTTTGAGCCCTGCTTATAAAGCATGCAAACCCCACACCCCACACCCACCCACTCCCAAGGATAGGCTATTTTCATTACACTGCTTATCTATAGGTCAGTTCCAGGATCCTGATCAGCTATTGTTTTTGGGGAGCAAGCTCACGCAAGTCAAGGTCCACATTCAGGGATAGCTTAGGCTATTCACTCTATTCAGGACTGTAGTATAAGATTGCAGTCCTGAGTACACTGGTAGAGAATAAGTCTCTTTGAACTCAATGAGATTTGCTTCAAAGCAGTTTTCACTCTAAGCTGAGTTAGTGTGAGCTAGCTCATAGCTTTTTTGCCTTTTGGCTCACACATTTTTGTCTTAGCTCAGGAAAGATGGCTCCAGAGCAAACTAATTTATGCAGTAGCCAAATGGCTTGCTCACAACTTTAATGCCAGTAGCTCACAAAATAGAATTTTTGCTCACCAGACTCCACAGCTTAGAGGGAGCATTGCTTCGAAATATCCATGCTTAGGAATACATCATGCACGCTACAACCAAACACTGAGTAGAATCTTTCCAGAAAGATTCTACCAAAGCAGTTTTTTGGGGAAAAATGTGTATGAGGCAAAGGAAAGCCTGGAAAGTGAATGGTTGCCAGATAATGTTGTGTAGAAGCTCAGGAAAAAACATAAGGGCAGGTTAGGAGATGGAGTTAAGTACCTTTATTTTACCTCAGGCGTGTATCGATGGGAAAGGGAATATACAGCCAGGGAAAGACCGCAGATATACCACACAATAGGAGAGGGAAGGGAACAGAGGACAGGACCGGAAGAACATCAGCGTCCTGCTGTTTCCCCTCAACTGAGCAAAATAGTTGCACTGAGAAGAGTCACTTAAGGAGACTGTGCCCAAGCAAATAGGAGTGAGTGGCTTCCTGGCTCCTTTCCCCCAATACAGATATAGACCATTTATGTCCCACACATCTCTTCTACTCCACTACTTCCTCTGTTTGGAAAATCTCTAGTTCTCAGCATTGTTGAAATAATTCAGGGGATTAAATAATGGGCTCCTGTTCCCAGAATTTTTATTTCTTTGTTCTGCATGCTTTAATTCTAACGATAGTGGCCGGTGGATTTTCAAACTCTGTCTTATTACAAGGATGCAAAATTAACTTTGATAAGGATGTTATTCAGAGTGGTGGGAGGAGATTTGAGGCTGGCCCTTAATACCTCTGGAGGAAAATGAGTACTCTCACAGCAACCAATGAGCTTTAACAATATTTGCATATATAGGAAGACTTCTTAAAGTTTAGGGAATTGAAACGGAACTCAGCCGAGGAACTGAGTTTGGGAGATCTCTGTCTGGCAATCTCTCTGCCAAGGAAGTTGAGAATCTCTCACCATGGTTATGGCCTTGATGTTTTTCTTGTTTCTCACTTCTTTTGGGGGTAGGATGGAGAGTTAAATAAAATGCCTAATTAACCAAGTGTCTTTACTTTCCTTTTACCTTTTAATGTCAACACTGAAGATCCTCTCCCTGTGATCCTTCCATTCCACCTAATGTTTCCTGTTGATTTTGTTTCCAGGTTGCGATGCCCAATTTACAATGACTCAGCCGCCCTCTGTGTCAGCCTCTGTTGGAGAGACTGTTAAGGTCGCCTGCACAAGAAGCAGTGGGAGCATAAGCAGCTACGATAACTCCTGGTACCAACAGACGCCTGGCAGTGCTCCCATACTACTCATATATGGGCATAACAGAAGACCGTCAGGCATCTCTGACTGTTTCTCAGGTTCCCTGGACAGCTCTGCGAATGCTGCCATCTTAACCATCTCCAAAGTTCAAGCAGCTGATGAGGCCACTTATTACTGTTCATCTTATGACAGCAACATTCTGTACACGATGATACAACCACACAGGGAAGTGGGACAAAAACCTCCATGCAGCTGGTGTGCTTTGCATGGGTTGTGCTTGGCTGATGCACCAGCTGAGTCCCCTGTGACCAGACTGGTCAACTAGATGTGAGAGATGATGGTATCATCCATGAGTTTTGTATCAGGCTGAGTGTTACTCTGAGCCAGAGCTTTTTTTTTGGGGGGGGGCGCGGAGAGGTGCCGGAACTCTCAAGAGGGAAATGAAGTTTTCAATCTTTATATTAAAAACTCATAAACTTTAAAATATGTTTAAAAGAATTTTGTCGAAAAGGTTCCTGAACCCCATTCCAGCACATTCCCCCAGAAAAAAAGCCTCAATCTCAGCAGGTGTGAAACAGAGAGAGGGTTTAAAAACAGAACAGTAGGGGTGTGTGTTTGGAGAGAGGTCTGAACCCACGTCTTAAGGTAAATGTAAAGGCTTCCCTTGCTCGAAAGCCAGTCGAATCCAACTTTAGGGATGCGATGCTCATCTCCGTTTCCAAGCCGAAGAGCCAGCGCTGTCCAAAGACGTTTCCGTGATCATGTGGCCGGCATGACTAAACACCGAGGTGCACGGAACACTGTTTCCTTCCCACCGAAGTGGTACCTATTTATCTATTTGCAATTTCTTGCTTTCGAACTGCTAGGTTGGCAGGAGCTGGGACCAGAGACAGGAGGTCACTCCGTCATGTGGCACTCGGGTCTTGAACTGCTGAACTACCGACTTTCCGGTCTGCAGTTCAGCATCTTAACCACTTGAACCCACTTCTTACCTGCAGCCTTTTCCTTTGCAACCCCATCCCCACCTGGTTTTATTCTTGCAGGCCTCATATACAGTCCCACCGCCCTCTTGAAATGGTTGTGGGGAGTGTTCAGCACCCTTTACTGGCCCCAGCTTCTCCACTGAATGCCGCTCCTTGCTTTCATACCCATTCAGCTCCAACCTAAAACATAGGTCTGCTGCCTTCATGTTCAGCGAGGCTCCAAGGAATCCTCTGGAAAGGTAAGTATTTATACAACCCCAGCTGAGTCTGTGGTTCAGTTCAGACATCACATAAAGCCATAAATAATATCCATGAAATCCCCTTTATTAAGACCAACCCAAAATGACACAAAACAGGGTTCACACCAATGTTCCCTCTAAACTGTGCAGTCTTGTGAGCAAAAATTCTACTTTGTGAGCTACTGGCATTAAAGTTGTGAGTGAGCGATTTGGCTACTGCATACTGCATAGTTTGCTCTGGAGCCCTCCTTCCTGAGCTAAGACAAAAATGTGTGAGCTGGAGGTTAAAAAACTGTGAGCCAGCTCACACTAACTCAGCTTAGAGGGAACACTGGTTCACACTTGTACATACTAAAGCTGAAATATACGTATGTTGCCAGATTTAGAATAATGGTTGATCATGTGTACTGAGACCATTGTGTGCAGTATGGTCTCTTGGTACATGTGGTAGCAGTGCCAGAAATGTTACAACAGGAAAGGGCCGTTGTGTGTAAGCTTATTATCAAAAACACAGGGGTTACGTTTGCATGATACAGCACATCAACAGCCAGGAGGTGTCACTGTTACCCTGCAGCTATAGTTATTTATTTAAGGAAGGTCAACATTTGCTTCTGTGGATTGTAAGTCTTATCAAGCATGGTTTAGAGAGGCAGACAATAAGAACGATGGCGGAAAGGCTTCTGGAGTGCCTCAGAGCAGGTGAGGAGAGATGAGGTGGACAGGACAGGGGGAGGAAGCATGCCGAAGAAACCTTATCTTCCAAGTCAGCAACACGTTTGAAAGTACAGCAGGAACATTTGGACTTCAGCCTACCAATAGCCAGTGGGTGCTGGACCTTCGTCTATGTTTAATCTTTAAAATGGTACAGATACGTTTAATGTTTAAAAGGAGGGGGGTAAAGACGGCAAGAGGTGCTGTGTACCCTGGAAGCTCTCATCCTTAAGAATAGCATTTTTAAATAACTAAAAATGGTGGCACAGTCTGTTGTGGCCATGAGGACACCATCGTGGTGCATTTGGCCCTGAGTTCCAACCCAGAGCAAATTCATTTCCATCATCTTTGTGAATTCTCAAAGCTGGTGAGAAACAACGGAGACCTTTCTTCACCTTCCTGTCAGCACCACGGCCAAAGGCTGAGCACAATCTTTCCAAGCAAGATTCCACCAAAGCAGGTTTTGGGAGAAATGCGATGAGGCAGGGGAAAAGCTGGAAAGTGAATGATTGCAGGACAATGTTGTGTGGAAGCTCAGGGGAAGAAATATGGGGCAGTTTGGGAAACTCTTGTGTTAAATGTCTGTGTGGAAATAGTCTTTAGTTTATAACAGATGTGTGTGTGTGTGTGTGTGTGGTAGGTGAACACGGGGCCAGGGAAAAGCTCCAGATATGCCACATGGCAGGGGAAGGAAGGGGGAGGATGTCAGGACCAGAAGAACAGTAATTGCCTGACTTATTTCCTCAAACAGAATGGCCAACAAACTACGGTAACTGCACTGTTCAAGGACCAAAAATAAAACAGTGCAGGAAGGAAAATATGAAAATATAGGTATTCTTAAGCTCTTGGAGAAATTAATCAAACAATATCAAAAATGGAAAAATTCCACAATGAACATGTAGGTGCATAATGTCCAAAACATGCAATGAAAATCCATATTGCATATACAAGAATAATGTCCAAAACATTCAATGAAAATCCATATTGCATGTACAAGACATACACAAAGTATGATTCCACAAATATTTGGTAAGGAAGATTAAATAAGAAAATTCCAATGAATGAACAGGTACAAACGGTTCCAAAAGAAGACTCTTCTAACAAGGGTGCTAGCTACGATCTAATCAAGTTTCACTACTATGCCATTTATGAAGCACTGAACTATCTGTGAAGTTTTGAATTATTTGGGTAATTCCATATCAAGCACTCCTGTTTGTTGATACAGCAAAGAACAGCATCGGTTCTACAATAATCTTTGCAGTAATTTTTACAGCAATCTTCCTTATCAAATATTTTGACTTATTTCCTTGCCCAAGCCAATAGAAGTGAGGGGCTCCCTGGCTCCTTTCCCCAGATACATATATGACCCTTTATGACCCACACATGCCTTCTACCCCACTACCTCCTCAGTTTGAGAAAACTTCCAGTTCTCAACATTTTTGAAATAATTTGGTAAATTAAGTAATGTGATAGATGGATTCCCCCCCCCATCACAGAATTTGGGTTTCTTTGCTGTAGAATCAGAATGCTTTCATTCTAGCCATCTTGGCTGGTGGATTTTCAAACTCTGTCTTATCCCAAGGATGGAAAATTAACCTTGAGAAGGATGTTTTTTTTAGAGTGGTGGGAGGAGACTTGCTGTAAGCTCTGAATGCCTCTGCAGGGAAATGAGTTCTCTGGTAGCAACCAATGAGGATTGGCAATATTTGCATGTAGGGAGACTTCTTAAGGTTTAGGGAATGGAAATGGAACCCAGCCGAGGAACTGAGTTTGGGATAGTTCTAGGCAGCAACCTCGTTGTCCCAGGAAGCCGGGCATCTCTCACCATGGCCAAGGCCTTGATGCTCTTCCTATTCCTCACTTCTTTTTGGGGTAGGATAGAGACTTCATTGAAATACCTAATTAGCCAGCTTTCCTCATTTCTCCATTTTATGGCAACCCTGACGATCCTCTCAGTGTGATCCTTCCATTCCACTTAATTTGTGCTTCTGATTTTGTTTCCAGGTTGTCACAGCCAGTTTTCAATGACCCAGCCGCTCTCTCTGTTGGCTTCTGTTGGAGAGACTGTCAAGATCTCCTGTACATTAAGTGGTGAGGGCATAAGCAGCACATATACCTCCTGGTACCAACAGAAACCTGGCAGTGCTCCAGTGATGCTCATATATACGGATGATGACAGAGCCTCAGGCATCTCCGACCGATTCTCAGGTTTCCGTGATGACTCTGCCAATGCCGCTGTCTTGACCATCTCCCATGTCCAAGCAGGGGATGAGGCCAATTATCACTGTTTCTCTTATTACAACAGCAACAAGCTCACAATGATACAAACACTTGGGGAAGTGAGACAAAAACCTCCATGCAGCAGGTGTGCTTTTCATTGGTTGTGCTTGGCTGACGCACCAGCTGAGTCTCCTGTGACCAGTCTGGTGAACTAGATGTGATAGAAGCCAGTGTCACGTGTGAGTCTTGTGTCAGGCTTTGTGTCAGGCTGAGTGGAAGGAAAACAGAGTGAGGGTTTAAAAGCAGAAATGTCGGGGGGCGTTGAACCCACCTCTCTTCTGCAGCCTTTTCCTTTGCAACCCTGTCCCCACCTTCTTCTATTCCAGCAGTGCTTATGTACAGTCTCACAGTCCTCTTGAAATAGTGTGGGGAACGCTCACTACCCCCTACCTGGCCCAACTTCTGCACTTAAAACCACCTCTTCCCTTCATCCCTATTCAGATCTGCCTTAAAATGCAGCTCTGCCCCCAACATGTTCAGTGAGGCTCCATAGAGTTCTCTTTGGCTCAGTTCAGGCATCACAGAAAACCATAAATCCATGTAATACCTTTCATTAAGGCCAATCCCAAATGACCCCAATGAGTGAATGCGCTTGCATGTACTGAAGCTGTTCATGTGCTAGCAGATTCAGATAAAATGATTGCTTATGTCTACCGAGACAATCATGTGGAATGTCCTTTCATGGTACATGTGGTAGCAGTGCAAGAAGTGTACTAACCAAAAATGGCCATTGTGTGTAAACTTCCCATCACAACCACAGAGGTTTTGTATGCCTGACAGAGTGCATCCATGGCCGGGTGGTGTCACTGTCCCCCCGCAGCTATTGTTTTTTTTATTTATGGAAAGCCAGCATTTGCTTCTGTGTATTCTAAGTCTCATCTAGCATGGTTTAGAGAGGTAAGTGAAGAGCAGGAGGATGAAAGGACTTCAGGTGTGCCTCAGAGCAGGTGAGAGATGTGGTGGAGGACAGGACGGGGGAGGGGACAGCTGGCAGAAGAAGCCACAGATGTTTCATCTTCCCAGTCAGCAGCAGATCTGAAAGCACAGCCGGAACATCTTCAGCCTAGGAATGCCCATGGTGCTGGAGAAGACTCTTGAGAGTCCCTTGGACTGCAAGAAGATCAAATCAGTCAATCCTAAAAGAAATCAACCCTGACTGTTCCCTGGAAGGCCAGATAATGAAACTGAAGCTCAAATACTTTGGCCACCAAATGAGAAGGAAGCACTCACTGGAGAAGACCCTGATGCTGGGAAAGATCGAAGGTCAAAGAAGACGGGGACGGCAAAGGATGAGATGGTTAGAGAGTGTCATTGATGCAACGAACATGAAGTTGAGCAAACTTCAGAGGACGGCGGAAGACCGGAAGGCCTGGCGTGATCTGGTCCATGGGGTTGCGAAGAGTCGGACTCGACTGTGCGACTGAACAACAACAAAATGCCCATTCAGTGCTGGACCTTGTTTTATGTTGAATCTTTAAACCTTTAAGCCTATTTTTAATGTTGAAAACGAGAGGGACAGTAGGTAAAGGTGGCACGAGGTGTTTTGAACCCTGGAAGCTCTTATCCCTAATCCTGGCACTTTTAAATGATTTTAACATGGTGGCACTGTTCTCATGATGACCATGAGGTCACCTTCACATCTCATATGGCTCTAAGTTCAAACCAAGAACAAATTAGTTTCTGCCATTTTTGTGAATTTTCAAAGCTGGGGAGAAACAATTAAGACTTTCCAGAGGGATGTGTACATTTTTTGGTTTCTTGTTTCTGTTATTTTAATGCAAGATTTACATTGGTCAGGATGTAAGTAATGTGACTGAAAGAGCTGACACATGTTATTTGTAAGCAACAATTTCAGACTAAAAAAGGTGTTCTATCTGTTTGCCCATCACTATTTATTCTGCTCTTTCTCTAAGGAGAACAGAAGACAAATCATGAGGTTGGGTCCCACCAGCTTTTTCATACATTCTTCTGCCTCCTTCATCTTTTCATGACTTTGCTTGTGGAAAACCTTTGGCAATTATGTGAGAATAACTCACGGTGAACTCCCCAATTTTCACTCTGAAAAAAAAATAAGGGCGATGCTCAGTACAAAGCAAATGTGTCCTATGGTCATGGGTTCTACTGGAGTGGAGCATATTCCTTATGGGGAGAAGAAGCTCTAGCATAGGTCATGACCACAGAATGTATTTGCATGGGAGGAGGACCATTGTTCTGCTGTGGGGGATTTAAAGCAGGAGAGAGGGTTGTGATATTTGTCGTGATATTTGTGCTTTAGAAAGCCCTTTGGGGAACTCAGAATGGGTGGGACTCTGTTTTACCTGGCACTTTTCTGTTACTGCTCAGGTAAGGGGAATTTGCACACTCCTGTAGACCTAGTCTAAAGCGACTTGTACCACTTAGGAAAATAGGGGGTGATATTTGAAAGAAGGGAAGACGAAAGTCCCAGGGATGGATCCCATCAGTTCTTCCATTCAATGTGACCTTTGCCCACTGTTCTGCATCCCCCATCCTGCATGGCTTTTGTCCATGCAGGTCCCATGATCGCCGGCATAGCCTTCCTCCTCCTTTCATCTGTGGGAAAGCAGCTTCAGTTGTTCGCTTTTTTCTTTTTGTACAGGTGTCAGTTCACAGGCATCTTTGACTCAGCCTCCTTTCCAGTCTGCGTCCCCAGGACAAACGGATGAACTCTCCTGCACAGCCCATGGTAGTGTAGGCAGCACTCACTGGCTTCAGCAAAGACCTGGATGGGGCCCTCGCTTTGTGCTCACAGGTGCCAGCACTCGGGGAGAAGGGATCCCGGACCGGTTCACTGGTTCTAAGTCTGGGAACGTTCACTCTTTAGTCATTGCTAACCTCCAGGCTGAAGATGAGGCTGATTATTACTGTGTTGCTTGGGACAACAGTGGTAGCCAGTTCCACAGTGGTGAACTCTGATGGGGAACTGAGACAAAAAGCTTCCCTCTTCCTCCCCAGTGTGGACAATACAGAAGAATAAGAGAATTTCATTTGATCTGTGCCTGAAGATTAGTTGAACCATATTTACTCTTATGGGTTGGATCTAACCAGCGATTCAGCTGATAAACAGGGGTGTGTGTCTGTCTTTCTATTACTGCATGGCGGCCCGAATCATAAATGTAAAAATGTAAATGTAAGTATAAAAAAAAGGGTGTGTGCATGCATGTACTGAATCTGCAATACAAATATGTTTTCAGATTCAGAGAAAATGGTTGATCATGCATATCTAAATAATAATATGTAGTGTACTCTACTGGTACATGGGGTAAAAGTGCCAGACGTGCATCTCAAAAAAAGGGCAATTGTGTGTAAGCTTGCTATCAATAATTGAGGGTTTATGTATGCCAGACAGAGTACATCAGTTGCCATGAGGTGTCACTATTACCTCGCAACTATATTTTTTTAATTTAAGAAAAGTTAGCATTTGCTTCTGTGAGTTCTGAGTCTGATCTAGCATGTAGAGAGGCAGGCATAGAAAAGAACAATGAAAAGACTTCTGGTGTGCCTCAGAGCAGGTGAGAAATGGGGTGGAGGACAAGACTGTGGTGGGGTGGGGGAGCTGGCAGAAGAAGCCATGGGTGCCATCTTCCAAGCCAGCAGCACATTTGAAAGCATGGTTGGAACATTTGGGCTTCTGCCTAGTAACAGCTAGTGGATGCTGGACTTCGGTCTATGTTTAATCTTTTAAGGTTTAATCTGGTCACCTATAGGTTGGACTACTGTAACTCGCCCTATCCAGGGTTACCCTTGAGACTGACCTGGAATTTACAATTGGTCCAGAATGCAGCGGTGAGGGTCCTTACAGGTACCCCATCGACTGGTGCTTTGCTAGCTGCACTGGCTCCAGGTTGAATACTGGACCTGGTTCAAGGTATTGGTATTAACCTTCAAGGCCCTAAACAGCCTGGGATGAATGTATCTATGGGACCGCCTCTCCTGGTATGCCCCCCCCCCAAGAATGTCACACTCAGGAGAGAAGACCTTTCTAGTGATCCTTGGCCTGAAAAGCCTCCGGCTGCCCTCAACCAGAGCCAGGGCTTTTTTGATCCTGGGGCCGACCTGGTGGAACGCTATGCCAAATGAGATCCATGCTCTGTGGGACCTAATGCAGTTCCGCAGGGCCTGCAAGACAGAGATGTCCTGCCAGGCCTATGTTTGAGGACAGCAAGGTCTTTTAAATTGTTTAAATGGATTGTAATGTTGTGTAACTGGCGATGTTTCCCCCTGCTCCGAGCCCTGTTGCACAGGGGAGAGTGGGTTACGAGTAGAATTTAATAAATAAATAAATAAAAATTAAGGCTATATATAATATTTAATAATACTTCCAATGTGGGTTGGGAAGTTCAAAAATGTGCACCTTCCTGTCTACACCATGACCAAAGACACATTTCCAGAAAGAATCTATGAAAAATAGGGGTTTTTTTTGGGGGGGGGAGTGTTGGGAAGTAAAGGAAAGCCTGGAAAGTGAGTGATCACATGACAATGTTTATTTATTGATTTACTTTATTTATAGCCTATGTTTCCCCCCAAGTGCATTGATGGACCCTTTATGACCCATACATCCCTTCCTCTCCACTACCTCCTTTGCTTGGAAAGCCCCCAGTTCTCAGCAGTCTTGAAATAATTCAGGGGATTAAATAACATGTCCATGTTCCCAGAATTTTTATTTCTTTGTTCCAGATTCTGCATGCTTTAATTCTAATGAACGTGGCTGGTGGATTGTCAAACTCTGCCCTGCATTTATTTAAATGTTGTTTGTTTAAATGTTTTTAAATGTTTTAATAATGTTTTGAGCTTTAATGTGTTATATATGAATCTGGCATAGAGCCAGGCAGTGTGAGCCGGCCTGAGCCCGCTTGCGGGGAGGGCGGATTATAAATAAGGATTGTAAATATAATAAATAAATAAAATAAAAATGATTACAAGGATGCAAAATTAACTTTGATAAGGATGTTATTCAGCGTGGTGGGAGGAGATCTGAGATCTTCCCTTAATACTTCTGGAGAGAAATGAGTAATCTGGTAGCAACCAATGAGCTTTGACAATATTTGCATATACAGGGAGACTTCTCAAAGTTTAGGGAATTGAAATGGAACTCAGCCGAGGAACTGAGTTTGGGAGATCTCTGCCAGCAGCCTCTTTGCCAAGGAATCTCTTCTTGCTGAGAATCTCTCACCATGGTCATGACCTTGATGTTCTTCTTGTTTCTTACTTCTTTTTGGGGTAGGATAGAGACTTAAATAAAATACTTAACCAAGTATCATATCTTTTTTGCCCTTTTAATGGCAACACTGAGGATCCTCTTCCTGTGATCCTTCCATTCTGCTTAATGGCCTTTTCTGCATTTATATTTTGCCCTGCATTCAGAGCATACCGAGGAATTGTGTTCTACATCACATTCCATCTTCTCTCTCTATTTGCCCCGCAGGTAATTTTTTTCCTGCGTGTGTTCATCATGACTCCATCCCCAGAGTGGTTTCATCCCAGTTTTGCTCTGTGCTTTTTGAGACTTGTTTTGCGGTGGGTCTTTTGTCTGCGCCGGTTTCAGCATGCTCATGTAGAATCACCGAGAACCTCAGGCATCTCCGACGGAATTCTCAGGTTCTCTTGACAGCTCTGCCAGTGTCGCCATCTTACCCATCTCCAACATTCAAGTAGCTGATGAGACCGATTATTACTAATCATCTTATGACAGCAGCAATCAGTACACAACGATACAACCACACAGAGAAGTGGGACAAAAACCTCCACGCAGCAGGTGTTCTTTGCATGGGTTGTGCTTGGTTGATGCACTAGCTGAGTCTCCTGTGTCCAGACTGGTTAATTAGATGTGAGAAAGGATGGCACCACCATCCATGAATCTTGTATCAGGCTGAGTGTCATGCTGAAGGGATGTGAAACAGAGAAAGACTCTTAGAACAGTAGGAGTGTGTGTTTGGAGAGGGGTATGAACCCTCTTCCTACCTGTACCTTTTTCCTTTGCAACTCCATCCCCACCTGTTTTTATTCTTGCAGGGCTCATATAAAGTCCCACAGACCCTTTGAAACGAAACAGGGAACGTTCAGCACCCTCTACTGGCCCCAGCTTCCCCACTGAATGCCTTCATACCCATTCAGCTCTAACTTAAAACACAGGTCTGCTGCCATCATGGCCAGTGAGGCTCCAAGGATTCCTCTGGAACTTGAATATTTATATGGCCTCAGCTGAGACTGTGGCTCAGTTCAGGGCCAGTAAAATGGAGCTGTTCTGCCAGACCTTTGGCTGAGGTGGCGGGGGCCTCACTATATTTGGCCTCCCCGGCTCTAACCAGTCCCCCTCCAACTAGCCCACACTGTTTGTTACATCAGTTTTGTGTCATAGGCTGGGGGCTGGCCCAAGTATTACCTCGATGGCCCTTCCTGAGTTATTCTCGGTTCTATCCCTGAAGTCTGGGCGTTACCATCTTGCCATCATGTAGCTTTAGTTGGGTTTTTAAACTTGAATTTAAATGGTATAAACTGCTTTTATGTGTTTGTGATGCCTTGTGCCCCGCCCTGAGCCTGCTTGTGGGGGAAGGGTGGGATGAAAGTCTCATAAATAAATAAATAAATAAATAAAACAAAGCCATAAATAATATCCATGCAATAAATAATACCCATGCAATCCATGCACGTACCAAAGCTGAAATATATGGATGTTGGTAGATTCAGACAAAATGGTTGAACATTTATGTTGAGATGTGCAGGATGCTCTCTTGGTACTTGTGGCAGCAGTGCCAGAAATGTAGTGACACAAAAGGGCCATTGTACGTAAACTACTTATTGAAATCACCGAGGTTATGTATGCGTGATGCAGTGCATCAGTGGCCAGGAGGTGTCACTGTTGCTATAGCTTTTTATTTACGGAAGGTCAGCATTAGCTTCTGTAGATTCTGTGTCTGATGAGCATGGCTTAGAGAGGCAGGTGAAGAGAAGGATGATGAAAAGACTTCAGGTGTGCCTCAGAGCAGGTGAGAGATGGGGTGGAGGGCAGGACAGGGGGAGGAAGCATGCCAAAGAAGCCATAGACGCCTCATCTTCCAAGTCAGCGACACATTTGAAAGCACAGCAGGAACATGTGGTCTTCAGCCTACTGACCACTGGATGGTGCTGGACCTTTGTCTACGTTTAATCTTTAAAATGGTACAGCTATGTCTAATGTTTAAAAGGAGAGGGGCGGGAGGTTAAGACGGCGATAGGTGCTTTGTGCCCCGGAAGCTCTCATCGTTAAGAATGGCATTTTGAAATCACTTAAAAGGGTGGCACAGTCTTTGTTGTGGCCATGAGGACACTGTCAGGGTGTGTTTGGACCTGAGTTGAAACCCAGGGCAAATTCATTTCCGTCACCTGTGTGAATTCTCAAAGCTGGTGGGAAATAATGGAGACCTTCCTGCACCTTCCTGTCTGCACCATGGTTAAAGGCTGGGTACCATCTTTCCAGCAAGATTCCACCAAAGCAGGTTTGGGGAGAAATGCGGCGAGGTAGGGGAAAAGCTGGAAAGTGAATGATTGCAGGACAATGTTGTGTGGAACTTGAAGCTTGTGGTGGTGGTGGTGGTAGGGGGACACCAGGCAGTTGGAAACTGTGTTCAATGTCTGTATGGAAACAGCCTTTATTTTACAACAGATGTGGGGTGGGGAGGAAGGAGAACACAAGGGCAGGGAAGGGCTCCAGATATGCCACATGTCAGAAGAAGGAAAGGGGAGGATGACAGGGCCAGAAGAAGAGCAGCTGCCCGACTTATTTCCTCAGCTGAATAGGAGAGAAGCAATGCAAAGAGGCACCAAAAGAAACTTCATCCAAGGAAATCGGAGTGTCTCCCTGAGCTCCTTTCTCCAAATATGCATATGGACCCTTTATGACCTCATCATCCCTTCTACCCCACTACCTCCTCATTTTGGGAAAACTCCCAGTTCTCAGCATTCTTGAAATAATTGGGTAAATTAAATAATATCATGGATGGATTCCTCCCTGTTGCAGAATTTGGGCTTGTTTGCTGCAGAATCAAATGCTTTCATTCTAGCAATCTTAGCTGGAGGACTTTCAAACTCTGTCTTATCCAAAGGATGCAAAATTAACCTTGATAATGATTTTTTTTCAGAGCGGTGGGAGGCAACTTTCTGAATGCCTCTGCAAGGAAATGAGTTACCTGTTAGCAACCAATGAGGTTTGGTGATATTTGCATATAGAGAGACTTCTTAAAGTGTCGTGAATGGAAATGGAACTCAGCCAAGGAACTGAGGTTAGGATAGTTCTAGGCAGCAACCTCTTTGTCCCAGGAAGCTGGGAATCTCTCACCATGGCCAAGGCCTTGATGCTGTTCCTGTTCCTCACTTCTTTTTTGGGTAGGATGGAGACATAACTAAAATACTAATCTAAAGCTAATTAGCCAACTTTCCTCATTTTCTGTTTCTCCATTTTATGGCAACACTGACAATCCTCTCAGTGTGATCCTTCCATTCCACTTAATTTGTGCTTCTGATTTTGTTTCCAGGTTGTCATGCCCAGCTTACAATGATTCAGCCACCTTCTATGTCGGCTTCCATTGGAGAGACTGTCAAGATCTCCTGTACATTAAGTGGCACAGGCATCAGCAGCTCCTATACCTCCTGGTACCAACAGAAGCCTGGCAGTGCTCCAGTGATGCTCATATATAGAGATGACGACAGAGCCTCAGGCATCTCCGACCGATTCTCAGGTTCCCTCGACAGCTCTGCCAATACCGCCACCTTAACGATCTCCAATGTCCAAGCAGGGGATGAGGCCGATTATCACTGTTTGTATTATTACAGCAGCAGCAAGAACACAATGATGCAAACACATGGGGAAGTGAGACAAAAACCTCCATGCATCAGATGTGCTTTGCACTGGTTGTGCTTGGCTGACGCACCCGCTGAGTCTCCTGTGACCAGTCGGGTGAACTAGACGCGATAGAGGCCGGTGTCACCCATGAGTCTTGTATCAGGATTTGTCTCAGACTGAATGGATGGAAAACAGAGTGAAGGTTTGAGAGCAGAAATGCGGGGGGTGCTGTACCCAACTCTCCCCTGCAGCCTTTTCCTTTGCAACCCTGTCCCCACCTGCTTCTGTTCCAGCAATGCTTATGTACAGTCTCACAGTGCTCTTGAAATAGTATGGGGAATGTTCACTACCCTTGACCTGGCCCACACTTTTCCACTTAAAACCACACCTTCCCTTCACCCCTATTCAGCTCTGTCTTAAAGCGTAGCTCTGCTAGCAACATGCTCAGTGAGGCTTCAAGGAATTTTCTGGAACTTGAATATGTATATAGGTCCAGCTGAGACTTTGGCTCAGTTCAGACATCAAAGAAAACCATAAATCTACATAATACCCTTCATTAAAGCCCATCCCAAATGAACCCAAAGAGGATATGTGATTGCATGTACTGAAGCCGAAGTATACCTATGCTAGCAGATTCTGATAAAATGGTTCATTATGTATACGAAACATTCATGTGTAGTGTGCTTTCGTGTTACATGTGGTAGCAGTGCTGGTAGTGCAAGGACTAAACATGGCCATTGTGTGTAAACTTCCCATCAAAACCAGAGAGGTTTTGTACACCTGACAGAGAGCATCCATGGCCGGGTGGTGTAACAAAGTCTATGCTCTTTGTTACATTGATTTGTATCATAGGCTGGGGGCCCTTCCTGAGTTATTTCTCGATGGCCCTTCCTGAGTTATTCTCAGTTCTATCCCTGAGGTCTAGGCTTTAGCATCCCACCATTATGTAGGTTTAGTTGGGTTTTTAAACTTGAACTTAAATGACATAAGCTGCTTTTATGTGTTTGTGGTGCCTTGTACCCCGCCCTGAGCCTGCTTGCGGGGGAGGGTGGGATAAAATCTTCATAAATAAATAAAATAAAGCCATAAACTATATCCAGGTAATCCCCTTTATTAAGACCAACCCAAAAGGACACAAAACAGGGTACACACTTGCACTTACTAAAGTTGAAATATATGGGTGTTGCCAGATTCAGACAAAATGGTTGATCATTTATGTTGAGACAATCATGTGCAGGATGCTCCCTTGGTACTTGTGGTAGCAGTGCCAGAAATGCAGTGACACAAAAAGGCCATTGTACATAAACTTGTTATTGAAAACACAGAGGTAATGTATGCGTGATGCAGCGCATCAACGGCCAGGAGGTGTCACCGTTACTCTGCTGCTATAGGTTGTTTTTTACGGAAGGTCAACATTAACTTCTGTAGATTCTAAGTCTGATGAGCACGGCTTAGAGAGGCAGGCGAAGAGAAGGACAATGAAAAGACTTCAGGTGTGCCTCAGAGCAGGTGAGAGATGGGGTAGAGGACTGTACAGGGGAGGAAGCATGCCAAAGAAGCCAAAGGTGCCTCATCATCAAAGTCAGCAGCACATCTGAAAGGACAGCAAGATCATTTGGTCTTCAGCCTACTGACCACTGGTGGGTGCTGGACCTTTGTCTACATATAATCTCTAAAACGGTTCAGCTGTGCTTAATGTTTAAAAGGAGAGGGGCAGGAGGTAAAGGCAGCAAGAGGTGCTTTGTACCCTGGAAGCTCTCATCCTTAAGAACGGCATTTTTAAATCACTTGAAAGGGTGGTACAGTCGTCATTGTGGCCATGAGGACACTGTCAAGGTGCTTTTGGGGCTGAGTTGAAACCCAGGGCAAATTCATTCCCATCACCTGTGTGAATTCTCAAAGCTGGTGGGAAATAATGGAGACCTTTCTGCACCTTCCTGTCTGCACCATGGAAGAAGGCTGGGTACCATCTTTCCAACAAGATTCCACCAAAGCAGGTTTGGGGAGAAATGTGGTAAGGCAGGGGACAAGCTGGAAAGTGAATGATTGCAGGACAATGTTGTGTGGAATCTTGGGGGTGGGGGACACTGGGCAGTTTGGGAAACTGTGTTCAACGTCTGTATGGAAACAGCCTTTATTTTACAACAGATGTGGGGCGGGGAGGAAGGAGAAGACAGGGACGGGCTCCAGATATGCCACATGACAGAGGAAGGAAAGGGGAGGATGACAGGACCAGAAGAACAGCAGCTGCCTGACTTATTTCCTCAGCTGAACAGGGCCCTTTATGATCCCCCTCAGCCCTTCCACCCCACTACCTCCTCAGTTTGGGGAAACTCCCAGTTCTCAGCATTCTTGATCTAATTTGGTAAATTAAATATCCCCCCTGCCCCTGATCAGAGAATTTGAGCTTCTTTGCTGCAGAATCTTGGCTGGTGGACTTTCAAACTCTATCTTATCCCAAGGATGCAAAATTAACCTTGATAAAGATTTTTTTAGAGTGGTGGGAGGTGCCTTTCTGTAAGCTCTGAATGCCTCTGCAGGGAAATGAGTTACCTGGTAGCAACCAATGAGGTTTGGTAATATTTGCATGTAGGGAGACTTCTTAAGGTTTAGGGAATGGGAATGGAACCCAGTCGACGAACTGAATTTGGGACAGTTCTAGGCAGCAATCTCTTTGTCCCAAGAAACTGGGAATATCTCACCATGGCCAAGGCCTCGATGCTCATCCTGTTCCTCACTTCTTTTTGGGGTAGGATGGAGACTTCATTCAATTTCCTAATTAGCCAACTTTCCTCATTTTCTGCTTCTCCATTTTATGGCAACCTTGACAATCCTCTCAGTAAGTGTGATCCTTCCGTTCGACTTCATTTGGGCTTCTGATTTTGTTTTCAGGTTGTGATGCTGAGTTTACAATGACTCAGCCGCCCTCTGTGTCGACTTCCATTGGAGAGACTGTCAAAATCTCCTGTACATTAAGTGGAGAGCGCATAAGCAGCACCTATATCTCCTGGTACCAACAGAAGCCCGGCAGTACTCCAATGATGCTCATATATAGCAATGACAACAGAGCCTCAGGCATCTCCGACCGATTCTCCGGTTCTGTCGACAGCTCTGCCAATACCGCCACCTTAACCATCTCCAGTGCCCAAGAAGGCGATGAGGCCGATTATCACTGTTTCTCTTATTACAGCAGCAACAAGCGCACAATGATACAAACACATGGGGAAGTGAGACAAAATCCTCCACTCATGCGTGAGTCTTGTGTCAGGCTGAGTGGAAGGAAAACAGAGTGAGGGTTAAAGAGCAGAAATGTCGGGGTGGGGGTATGCTGGACCCACCTCTCTCCTGCACCCTTTTCCTTTGTAACCCTGTCCTCACCTACTTCTATTCCTGCAATGCTTATGTACAGTCTCACAGTCCTCTTAAAATGGTGTGGGGAACACTCACTACCCTTACCTGGCCCAACTTCTCCACTTAAAACTGCCCCTTCCCTTCATCCCTATTCAGCTCTGCCTTCAAATGCAGCTTTGGCACCAACATGTTCAGTGAGGCTCCAAAGTCTTCTCTGGAAAATGAATATTTCTATAGCCCCAAGCTGAGACTTTGGCTCAGTTCAGGCATCACACAAAACCATAAATCCAGAATATACCCTTCATTAAGGTCAATCCCAAATGACCCCAAAGGGGGTATGCACTTGCAGGTGCTGAAGCTGAAGTATACATATGCTAGCAGAGTGAGATAAAATTCTTGATTATGTAAACCAGAGGTCAATTCGGGGGGGATTGCGGGGGATCGCAGTTCCCCCGGGTGAGGTACGGGGGGCAGGGCACATGACGAAGCCCCGCCCCCCGCTTCCGGCCGCCCCGCTTCCGGCCCTCATTCAGCCAGGAGGAGGCAGGAGAAGAGGGAGGGTAAGTTGCTTCCTCCCCGCCTCTCCCCACCCCTGCCTGCCTGGGGCCAGGGAGGGCCTTGGCGGGGCTTCCTCGCACTCCCACCGGCCTTGCAGGTCCACCGCCAGGCCCCTGATGTCAGGGGGTGTGGCATATGCTAATGAGTTATGCTAATGAGTTCCCCTAGCTCTTTTTCTACGAAACGACCCCTGATGTAAACCAAAACAATCATATGTAGTATGCTTTAGTGGTACATGTGGTAGCAGTGCCAGATGTGTAATGATCAAAAATGGCAACTGTGTAAACTTGCCATGGAAACCACAGAGGTTTTGTATGCCTGACACAGTAATCAATGACCAGGTGGTGTCGCTCTCCCCCTGCAGCTCTTGCTTTTTATTTAAGGAAAGTCAGCATTTGCTTCTGTGGATTCTAAGTCTCATCTAGTGTGAAGAGAAGGAGGATGAAAAAACTTCAGGTGTGCTGCAGAACAGGTGAGAGATGTGGTGGAGGACCAGTGTAGCTATGGGACTGCCTCTCCTGGTATGGCCCCCCTCCACCACGGAGGGGAGAGAAGAGCTTATTGGTGCTCCCTGTCCCAAAAAGTCTCCGGCTGTCCTCAACCAGAGCCAAGGCTTTTTTGGCCCTGGTGCCAATCTGGTGGAATGCTATGCTGAATGAGATCCATGCCCCGTGGGACCTAATGCAGTTCTGCAGGGCCTGCAAGACAGAGATGTCCCGCCATGGGGAAGCGAGACAAAAACCTCCATGCAGCAGGTGTGCTGTGCTTTGGTTGTGCTTGGCTGATGCACCAGCTGAGTCTCCAGTGACCAGTCTGGTGAAGTCTATGTGATAGAAGCTGATGTCACTCGTGAGTCTTGTAACAGGCTGTGTGTCAGGCTGAATAGAGTGAGGGTTTAAAAGCAGATTTCTTTTTTTGGGGGGGGGAGTGCTGAACCTACCTCTCACCTGCAGCCTTTTCTTTGGCAACCCTGTCCCCGACTACTTCTATTCCAGCAGTGCTTATGTACCATCTCACTGTCCTATTGAAATGGTGTAAGGAATGCTCCCTACCCTCTACCTGGCCCAACTTCTGCGCTTAAAACCTTCCCTTCCTTCATACCTATTCAGCTCTGCCTTAAAGCTCAGCTCTGCCACCAACATGCTCAGTGAGGCTCCAAAGAGTTCTCTAGAAGTTGAATATTTCTGTAGCCCCAGCTGGTACTTTGACTAGTTCCAGAGGTCATTTCGGAGCTCTGCCACCAACATGCTCAGTGAGGCGCCAAAGAGTTCTCTGGAAGTTGAATATTTCTGTAGCCCCAAGCTGAGACTTTGGCTCAGTTCAGACCTCACACAAAACCATAAATCCACGTAATACCCTTTCATTAAGGCCAACCCCAAAAGACCCCAAAGAGGGAATGTGCTTGTGTGTACTGAGGCTGAAGTATACATATGCTACCAGATTCAGATAAAATGGCTGATTATGTATACTGGGATAATAATTTCTAGTGTGCTTTTGTGGTAAAAGTGGTAGCTGTGCAAGAAGTGTAAGGACTACAGATGGCCATGGTGGGTAAACTTCCCATCAAAACCACAGAGGTTTTGTACGCCTGACTTTTCTACGAAATGACCCCTGACTAGTTCAGACATCACACAAAACCATAAATCCACGTAATACCCTTCATTAAGGCCAACCCCAAAGAGGGAATGTGCTTGTGTGTACTGAGGCAGAAGTATACATATGCTACCAGATTCAGATAAAATGGCTGATTATGTATACTGGGACAATAATTTCTAGTGTGCTTTTGTGGTAAAAGTGGTAGCTGTGCAAGAAGTGTAAGGACTACAAATGGTCATGGTGTGTAAACTTCCCATCAAAACCACAGAGGTTTTGTACGCCTGACAGAGTGCATCCATGGCCGGGTGGTGTCACTGTCCCCCCGCAGCTATTGTTTTTTTATTTAAGAAAAGTCAGCATTCACTTCTGCAGATTCTAAGTTTCATCTAGCATGGTTTAGAGAGGTGAGTGAAGAGGATGATGATGAAAGGACTTCAGGTGTGCCTCAGAGCAGGTGAGAGATGTGGTGGAGGACAGGACGGGGGAGGGGACAGCTGGCAGAAGAAGCCACAGATGTTTCATCTTCCCAGTCAGCAGCAGATCTGAAAGCACAGCAGGAACATCTGGACTTCACCCAAGTAATGCCCATTGGGTGCTGGACCTTGGTCTATATTGAATCTTTAAACCATTAAGACTATGTTTAATGTTGAAAATGGGAGGGACTGGAGCTAAAGGTGGCATGAGGTGCTCTGAACCCTGGAAGCTCTTATCCCTAATCCTGACAGTTGTAAATGACTTTATAATGGTGGCACTGTCCTCATGGTGGCCATGAAGACAATCTCACACCTTGTATGACCCTAAATTCAAACCAAGAACAAATTTCTTTTCTGCCATTTTTGTGAATTTTCAAAGCTGGGGAGAAACAATGAAGACCTTCCACGATGGATGTATACATATCTTGGTTTTTCATTTCTGTTATTTTAACACCAGACTTACATTGGTCTGGATATAAGTAATGTGACTGAAAGAGCTGAGACAAGCTGACACATGTTATTTGTAAGTAACAAGCTCCAGACTAAAAAGGTGTTCTATCTGTCTGCCCATCACTCTTGATTCTGCTTTTCCTTTAAGGAGAACAGAAGACAAATCACGAGGTTGGGCCCCACCAGCTTTTTCATGAGTGCTTCTGTCTCCTTCACCTTTTCATGACTTTGCTTGTGGAAACCTTTGGCAATTGTGTGAGAACATCTCACAGTGAACTTTCACTCTGGGAAAAAAATCAGGGTGATGCTCAGTACAATGCAAATGTGTCCTATGGTCATGGTCTCTACTGTAGTGGCGTATATTCCCTATCGGGATAGGAAGCTCTAGCATAGCTTATTACAACCAAATGTATTTGCATGGGAGGAGGACCATTATTCTGCTGTGGGGGATTTAAAGCAGGAGAGAGGGAGAAGGGACCATCTTGTGATCTTTGTGCTTCAGAAAGTCCTTTGGGAAACACAGAATGGGTCGGACTCTGTTTTTCCTTGCACTTTTCTGTTATTGCTCAGGTAAGGGGAATTTGCACAGTCCTGTAGACCAATCATAAAGCAATTGCATAGGAACATAGTATGTGATATTTGAAAGAGGAGAAGATAGAAGTCACAGGTGACGGATCCCATCAGTTCTTTCATCCAATGTGACCTGTTTCCCCGCTATTCTGCATCCCTCATCCTGCATGGCTTTTGTCTGTGCAGGCCCCGTGATTCCCAGCGTAGCCTTGTTGGTGGTTAAAGGCTACCCCTTCCTCCTCGTTTCATCTGTGGAAAAGCACTTTCATTTGTTCCCTTTTTCTTTTTGTACAGGTGTCAGTTCACAGGCAACTTTGACTCAGCCTCCTTTCCAGTCCGCGTCCCCAGGACAAACGGTTGAACTCTCCTGCACAGCCCACGGAAGTGTGCAACACACTCACTGGCTTCAGCAAAGACCTGGACGGGGCCCTCGCTTTGCGCTCACGGGTGCCAGCACTCGGGGAGAAGGGATCCCGGACCGGTTTACTGGTTCTAAGTCTGGGAACGTTCACTCTTTAGTCATCACTAAGCTTCAGGCTGAAGATGAGGCTGATTATTACTGTGTCGCCTGGTATGGCAGTGGTAGCCAGTTCCACAGTGGTAAACACCGATGGGGAACTGATACAGAAACCTTCACTCTTCCTCCCCAGTGTGGGCAATACAGAAGAATAAGAGAATTGCATTTTACCTATGCCTGAAGACGAGTTGAACCATATTTACTCTTTGGGTTGGATCCAACCCACTTTTCAGCTGATAAACGAGAGTGTGCGTCTGTCTTTTGTCTACCAAGAAGCTGAAGCTGGGGATGATGGGAGCTACGTGGCAAAAAGCCAGGTGGGATGGGGACAGGGGCCACCTAAGGGTGCAAATCGTGTGAGACAGAGTAGAAAAGCAGGCTGGATCCATCCCATTTGCATTGTTTTAAAAGCATGATTTTGCACAGACTCTGGAGGTGACATATAATTTACACTCGTAATGAAATACACAATAATTATCAGCATCTCCTAGGGATGCTACTTAGCAATGGACAGCTACTGAGGAAAAAAAAACCTGTTGACCCATAAAACAATAAAAACAGTAGCGATACTGCTCTTAAGGACACTAGACACTAAAAGGAATCTTGTAGCACCTTACAGAACAGTGGGTATCCTGTTAGCATAAAAGCACCAGACAAAAGCGTATGGTAACAATGCATTAGTCCTGAAGATGCCTTCAGACTTGTTTAAAGGGCCTTGCTTTAGCAGCCCTAGGCTGCAATCCTAAGCATGTTTTCCTCAGAGTATGGGCCACTGAATGAAATAGGACTTGCTTTTGAGTAGGTGTTGTGGAGAAATGCACTCTACCCCAGAATCCATCTCAATATTTTATGAATTGGGGCTCCCCTCTACATACGTTCCACAGGTTGCAATGCTGGTACTAAACGGACAAATGCAAAACTGCAGAAAATGAGTCATCTCAGACACTCTCCCAAGCTCAGAGCGTCCCAGCTCTGAGCATTCCAGTGTCATGAAGCTTCCTGGGAAACAGAACAAAAGATTCAACTACAGAGGCTAATGTACTATAGAAATTAAAGTAACAGGTTTAGCAGAGGACTGAGGCTCAATCCAGGGTCTAAATCTGCAACATAGACAACAAATCGCATCAAACTGAGATTTACTTTGAAGCAGAAGTGCTTAGGAATACACCTCATCAGGCCTGGTTACACTGAAACACTCCACTTCAACCTCCTTCCTCTTAAGGAAATTGTGAGTGTTCTCTTAGCTTCTGCCCAGGAGTGTTTTAAGTGTCTTAATTCCTTCTTACATAAATTCTTCATGCTAAACTCCCCCCCCTCTTTTCAGATGGATGCTCAGGTTCTACTGAATTCTGTGTGAAACACAGAAAGCGTTTAATAGCAGTAGGGGGGTGCTGAGCCCACCTCCCACCTGCAACCCTTTCCTTCACAACCCCATGCCCGCCTGCTTCTATTCTAGCAGGGCTCATATACAGTCTCACAGCCCTCTTGAAACGGTGTGTGGAGCACTCAGTGTCCTCTGCTGGGCCCAGCTACTCCACGTAGAGCCACCTCTTCCCTCCATACCTATTCAGCTGCAACCTAAACGGCAGGTCTGCCAGCATCATGCTAAGGAGGCCTCCTAGGAATTTCTGGGAACTTGAATATTTGTAAAGTTGCAGCAGAGACTGTGACTTAGTTCTGATGGCACTAAAACCATAAATAAAATCCATGCAATACCTTTTGTTAAGGTCAGCACACTTCAGTTAAAAAAACAAAACAGGGTGCATGCATATACTGAAGCTGAAATACAAATACGTTTTCAGATTCAGACAAAACGGTTGATCATGGATATCAAAATAGTAATGTGTAGTGTACTCTACTGGTACATGGGGTAAGTGCCAGAAGGGTAGCGACAAAAAAGTGGCAATTGTGTGTAAACTTGCTATCGAACATTCAGAGGTTATGTATGCCTGACAGAGAACACCAATGGCGAGGAGGTGACACTGTTACCCCACAGCTACAGGGTTGATTTTTTTTAATTTAAGAAAAGACATCATTAGCTTCTGTGATTTCTGATACTGATCTAGTGCGCTTTAAAGAGGCAGATGGAGAGAAGGACCAGGAAAAGACTTCTGGTGTGCCAGATTCAGACAAAATAGTTGATCATACAGTCTGGGACAGTGAAGTGCAGTATCATCTCCTTGTACATAGCAGGCAAAGGAAGGGGGAGGATGTCAGGACCAGAAGAACAGCAGTTGCCTGACTTATTTCCTCAGCTGAGCAGAGTTGCAATGAAAAGAGTCCTTTAAGGAAACTTTGTCCAAGCAAATAGGAGTGAGTGGCTCCTATTTGTTTCCGTTATGACCCATACATCCCTTCCACTCCACTAACTTCTCAATTTGGGAAAGAACCCAGTTCTCAGCATTCTTGAAATAATTTGGTAAATTAAATAATGTGATAGATGGATCACTCCCCCCCCCCACGACAATAACAGAATTTGGGATTCTTTGCTGCATAATCAAAATGCTTTCATTCTTGCAATCTCGGCTAGTGTATGGTCAAACTCTGTCTTATCCCAAGGATGTAACAGTAATCTTGTTAAGGATGTTATTCAGAGTGGTGGGAGGAGATTTATGGCAAGCCCTGAATGCCACCGGAGGGAAATGCGTTATCTAATGGCAGCCAGTGAACATTGACAATATTTGCATAGAGGGAAACATCTTAAAGTTTAGGGAATTCAAATAGTGCAGCAAATAGAACTCAGTCAACGAACTGAGTTTGGGATGGTTCTAAGTGGCAATCTCTTTGTCCCAGGAAGCTGGGAGTCTCTCAGTATGGCCAAGGCTTTGGTGCTCGTCCTGTTCCTCACTTCATTTTGGGGTAGGATGCCGACTTCATTAAAATACTTATTAGCCAGCTTTCCCCTCTTTCTGCTTCTGCATTTTATGGCAACACTGAGAATCCTCTCAGTGTCTTCCTTCCATTCCACTTAATTTGTGCTTCTGATTTTGTTTCCAGGTTGCAATGCCCAATTTACAATGACCCAGCCGCCCTCTGTGTTGGCTTCCATCGGAGAGACTGTTAAAATTTCCTGTAGAAGAAACAGCGGGAGCATAAGCGGCTACTGGAACTCCTGGTACCAACAGACACCCGGCACTGGTCCAATACTGCTCATATATACTGATGATGAGAAAGCCTCAGGCATCTCTGACCGATTCTCGGGTTCCCTGGACAGCTCCGCCAACGCTGCTGTCTTAACCATCTCCAATGTCCAAGAAGGGGATGAGGCCGATTATTACTGTTTATCTTATGACAGCAGTAACAAGCACACAATGATACAACCACATGGGGAAGTGAGACAAAAACCTCAGTGCAGCAGATGTGCTATGCATGGGTTGTGCTTGGTTGACACACTAACGGAGTCTTCTGTGACCAGTCTGGTTAACTAACTGTGCTAGATGATGATGCTACTGTTGAGTCTTCTATCAGGCTGGGACTGATTTCCCACAAGCTGCTGCTCTGCGCTCGCTCTTCCCTTTGCCCCATCCTACGTGTCAAACTCACACTATGTGCTGTGTGGTGGAATTTTGCCCTGCAGCTTCGCCTGATTTCCTCCGCATCTACTCAGTCCTGTTTTTTGAGGATTGAGTAGACACGGGAGCTTTCCCCTCTTTCTGCTTCTGCATTTTATGGCAACACTGAGAATCCTCTCAGTGTCTTCCTTCCATTCCACTTAATTTGTGCTTCTGATTTTGTTTCCAGGTTGCAATGCCCAATTTACAATGACCCAGCCATCCTCTGTGTCGGCTTCCATCGGAGAGACTGTTAAAGTTTTCTGTAGAGGAAACAGCGGGAGCGTAAGCGACTACTGGAACTCCTGGTACCAACAGACACCCGGCACTGCTCCAATACTGCTTATATATAGCGATGACAACAGAGCCTCAGGCATCTCTGACCGATTCTCGGGTTCCCTGGACAGCTCCGCCAATGCTGCTGTCTTAACCATCTCCAATGTCCAAGAAGGGGATGAGGCCGATTATTACTGTTTATCTTATGACAGCAGTAACAAGCACACAATGATACAACCACATGGGGAAGTGAGACAAAAACCTCAGTGCAGCAGATGTGCTATGCATGGGTTGTGCTTGGTTGACACACTAACGGAGTCTTCTGTGACCAGTCTGGTTAACTAACTGTGCTAGATGATGATGCTATTGTTGAGTCTTCTATCACGCCCTGAGCCTGCCTCAGTGGGGAGGTTGAGATATAAATTTAAATGAATAAATACTTATGTAGCTCCAGCTGAGACTTTGACTGAGTTCAGACATCACAGAATCAGAAATTCATGGAACAGCCTTTATGAAGGCCAACCCAAAGTGAGACAAAGCAGTGTAGGCAACTTACATGTACTGAAGCTGAAATATATGTATGCTGCCAGATTCAGACAAAATGGATGCTCGTACATATCGAGAATATCATGTGTAATAGGTTCTTCTGGTACTGGTGTTAGCAGTGCCAAAAATGAGCCATTGTGGCCGTGGTCAGACCTGCCTTTAGATCTGACTCAGCTGTGAATGCCTGATGGATCTAAAGGGCATGATCAGACAGCAACATCTGGGAAAGGTCCTGTAGCCATCAGCATCTCGTGCTGCCCTGCCACAGAAGGGGAGTTAAAAGACACCGGTGAAAGTCTGGTCCTAGCACTTGCCAATGGGCCACGGAAAGACTTTCCCCTGTCTAATCGCTCAAGCATGTTCTCATGCCATTGGGATGGTCCGCTCCTTACATCCTGACTCAGAGCTGTTTCCTCCCCCCCTCAGTTAGCAGTATGCACATAGCCGCATACTCCATGGGGAACCCTCCGTGTGGACATGCAATTCCTCATTTATGCACATGGGAAACAAAAGGGAAAAAAAATCCCACTCACCTGCATGTGCTGTCTTATCACGAAGTTATGGGCTGAGCCCGCAGCTACAAAGGATGTGTGCTTGCGCAATACCGTGTCAGTTTCCACTGGGGGAAATAGGCTTGCTTCCCCTCTGCACCAAATGGCATGTCTGATTGCAGCCAAAGGCAATGTTTAGGTGACACAGCATGTGAATGGCCAGGAGGTGTGTCTGTTACCCCACGGCTATAGTTTTCTATTTAGGAAAGGTCAGCACTGGCTCCTGTGAATTCTGAGTCTGACCTAGTGTGGTTCAGAGAGGAAGGTGAACCAAAGGACGATGGAAATACTTCAGGTGTGCCTCAGAGCAGGTGGAGGGGTGGGGTGGGGTAGAGGACAGGACCAGGGGGAGAAGCCTGCAGAGAAGCCTTAGCTGCCTCATCTTCCAAATCAGGAGCGGATCTGAAAGCACATCAGGAACATTTGGGCTTCAGCCTAGCAACAGCCAGTGGGCACTGAGTCTATGTTTACTCTTTAAATCATTAAGGCTATGTTTAATGTTTAAGACAAGAAGGGCAGTAGCTAAAGATGGCAAGAGGTGCTTTGAACCCTGGAGGCCTTTGTCCCTAATCGTGGCCTTTTAAAATGACTTTAAAATGGCAACGCTGTCCTGGTAGCAGCCACGAGACACCATCATGTCTCATTTATCCCTAAGTTCAACCTCCCCCCCCAATTCATTTCCATCATCTTTGTGGATTCCCAAAGCTGGATAGAAACAATGACGATTTCAAGACAATGTTGTAGTGTAGCTCAGGGGGAAAAGGCACAGAGGCAGAGTTAAATTTCATTGTGAAAACAGCCTCTATTTTTCACCAGGTGGTGGTGAGGAGATGAACACAGGGCCAGGGGAAGACTCCACATGTGCCAGATAGTGGGTGAGGGAAGGGGACAGAGGACAGTGCCAGGAGAACAGAAGCCGCCTGACTTCATTCCCCAACTGAGCAACAGGGTTGCAATGGAGTATCACCTAAGGAAACTGTTGCCAAGCAGCTAGAAGTGAGAGGCTCCCTGCCTCCTTCCCCCCAATACATATTTGGGCCTTTTATTTCCCACACATCCCTTCCACTCCACTACCTCCTCCTTTTGTGAAACCCCCAAGTTCTCATTAGTCTTGAAATAATTCGGGGAATTAAATAATGTGATAAGTGGATCTTTTCATCCTTGATCACAGAATTTGGGTTTCTTTGTCGCAAAATCTAAATGCTTTCATTACAGAAATCATGGCTGGTGGATTTTCAAGCTCTGCTTATCAGAAGGATGCAAAATTAACCCTGATAAGCATCTTACTCAAATTTGTGGGAGGAGATTTGCAGCACGCCCTGAATGCCTCTGGAGGAAATGAGTTATTTGGTGGCAGCCAATGAGCTTGGACAATATTTGCATATAGGGAGATTTCTTAAAGTTTAGGAAATTGAAGTGGAACTCAGTGGAGGAACTGAGCCTGGGACACCTCTGTCCAGCAACCTCTTTGCTAAGGAAGCGGAGAACCTCTCACCATGGCCAAGGCCTTGATGCTCTTCCTGTTTCTCGCTTATTTGGGGGGTAGGATGGAGACTTAACTAAAATACCTAATAAATCAAGTGCCCTCACTCCCCCCCCTTTAATGTGAACACTGGCGATCCTCTCACTGTGATCCTTCCATTCCATTTAATGTTTGCTGCTGATTCTGTTTCCAGGTTGTGATGCCCAAATTACAATGACTCAGATGCCTTCTGTGTCAGCTTCCAGTGGGGAGACGGTTAAGATCTCCTGTACACTAAGTGGTGGGCGCATAAGTGGCTTCTATAACTCCTGGTACCAACAGAAGCCTGGCAGTGCTCCAGTGATGCTCATATATAGCGATGACGACAGAGCCTCAGGCATCTCCGACCGATTCTCAGGTTCCCTCGACAGCTCTGCCAATGCTGCCGTCTTGACCATCTCCAATGTCCAAGCAGGGGATGCGGCCAATTATTACTGTTTATACCATGACGGCCGTGTTCAGAACACAATGATACAACCATATGGGGAAGTGAGACAAAAACCTCAGTGCAGCAGATGTGCTATGCATGGGTTGTGCTTGGTTGACACACCAGTTTAGTCTCCTGTGACCAGTCTGGTTAAGTAGATGTGAGAGATGATGGCAGCCACGAGGACACTGTCACATCTCATTTAGCCCTAACTTCAAATCCAGAACAAATTAATTTCCGCCATCCTTGTGGATTCCCAAAGCTGGGGAGAAACAGTGAAGACTTTCCTCGTGGATGTATACACATTGTAAATGTCTTGTTTCTGTTATTTGAATACAAGGTTTACATTGGTCAGGATGTAAGTAATGTGCTTGAAAGAGGTTTCACCAGCTAACACACGTTATTTGGTAGCAACAAGTTTCAGGCTAAAAAAGGTGGTCTGTCTGTCTGTTCATCACATTTTGTTGTGCTGTTCCTCTAAGGAGAACAGAAGACAAATCACAAGGTTGGGTCCCGCCAGCTTTTTCATGCATGGTTCTGCACCCTTCATGTTTTCATGAGTTTTCTTGTGAGAAACCTTTGTCAATTGTCTGAGAATATCTCATAGTGAACTCCAGATTTTAACCCTGGGAAAAATAAGCATGTCTGACTGAGCATGTCTAAATGATGTCAGTGATGATGTAAAGGGAGGAGGAGCAAGAAGAGCATATAAGCAAGCTCCTGACTGTAACACACTGCACATCTGCGAGCTGTTAGGTGTTCCTTTATTCGAATAAATTCCTTTGTTACCCTTTACTGCCTGGATGATTGTTTTAACTGTGTGGTTTATCGGCTAGCCACACAAGTCAAAGAACCTTTGCGCCCTCCGGGCATTGGCTACAATATTGTGGTGAAACGGGGCATTAGGGGGCGGAGTTAAATGTCTCTGTGGAAACAGCATTTATTTTACATCAGATGATTGGGGGGGGTGGTGAACACAGGGCCAGGGAAGGACTCTGTCAAACTCGAGTCCTCATTTGCCATGTCCTCTGTCAGTGGGCCTATATGTTTCTGCTTTTGGGATGGGGGGGGGGGAATAGCTATGAATGTGTGTTTTTGCTTGCTACACTTTGTTGCTTGGCAACCATTTTTCTAAGGGTGCCTCCCTGCCCCTCCTAAGCACTGGGAAGAGACTATGTGACCTTGGAGCTGTCTGTGCTGGTCGCCCTGTCTTAGAAAAATAATTATAGGTTCACAGGTGTGGGGGGGTATGTGAAAGTGCGCTCATTTCAGGCGGGCTGACTGGAATGTGTGATTGGTCAACCATTTTTGGGGGGGCTCTTTGAATGGGGTAAAATCTCATTTTTCATTATTCTTGAAATAATTCAGGGAATTAAAAAAATGTGATTGATGCCCTTCCCCCATCACAGAATGTGGGCTTCTTTGTTGCAAAATCTACATGTGTTCATTCTTGCAATCTTGGCTGGTGTTGTGCTTTCAAACTCCTTCTTATCACAAGGATGCAAAATTAACCATGATGAGGATCGATTTCAGAGTGGTGGGAGGAGATTTGGGGCAGGCACTGTGTGTCTCTGGAGGCAGCCAATGAGTTCTGATAATATTTGCATTTAGGGAGACTTCTTAAAGTTTAGGGAACTGAAATGGAACTCAGCCGAGGAACTGAGTTTGGGATACTTGTAGGCAGCAACCTCTCTGTCCAAAGAAGCTGGGAATCTCTCATCATGGCCAAGGCCTCAATGATCTTCCTGTTTCTCACTTCTTTTTGGGGTAGGATAGAAACTTCATAAAAATACCTAATTAGCCAAGTGTCCTTACTTTCTCTTTCTTTCTTTTAACAGCCACAGTAATCTTCTCACTGTGAACCTTCCATTCCATTTAATTTGCACTTCTGATTTTGTTCTCAGGCTGTAATGCTGAGTTTACAATGACTCAGCCGCCCTCTGTGTCGGCTTCCATTGGACACACCGTTAAAATCTCCTGTACAAGAAGCAGTGAGCATAAGTGGCTACCGGAATTCCTGGTACCAACAGAAGCCCGGCAGTGCTCCCATGCCGCTCATATCCAAGCATAACACCAGAGCCACAGGAATCTCCGACCGTTTCTCAGGTTCCCTCGACAGCTCTGCCAATGCTGCCATCTTAACCATCTCCAACATTCAAGCAAATGACGAGGGTGATTATTACTGTTTATCTTATGGCAACAATGCCGTAAGATAAGACACAGTGATACAAACACATGGGGAAGTGAGACAAAAACCTCCATGCGGCTGATGTGCTTTGCATGGGTCCTACTTGGTTGATGTACCAGCTGGGTCCTCTGTGACCAGTCTGGTTAACTAGCTGTGAGAGTTGACGGTGCCACACATGAGTCTTGTATGAGGCTGAACAGATGTGAAACAGAGATGGTTTAATAGCAGAAGAATAGGGGGGTGATGAACCCACCACCCACTTGCAGTGTTCACAACCCCACCCCCGCTTTAATCATCATAATCATAATCATCATAATCATAATCATCACCACCACCACCACCACCACCATCATCATCATCATCTTTCAATTTATTAATTGCTCAATCCTGCAGAGCTTGCTGGCTCTGAGCGATTTACAGTTACTCATATACACACGGGGCTAACAATGATTCAAAGGGGTAAGGGAAGACAACATATGAATCTTTAAATCACTCACGTTCGCAGTCGATGGGGAGTTTGTTCAGCTGTAGGGTCAGACATGTTCCAAAGGCATTTTCCCTCGGCGTGGCTTGATGTCGTCAGCTTTTTCTCCAGGACTGCTTCAAGTTGCAGTTATTCTGGCAGGGCTCATGTACAGTCTCACAACCCTCTTCCAGTGGTGTGGGGAGCACCCAGTGCCCTCTACTGAGCCCAGAACTACCCCTTCCCTCCATACCTATTCAGCTGCAATCCAAAAGGCAGGTCTGCCACTGTCAAGCCCAGGCCTCTGAGGGATTCCTGGGGACTTTAATTTTTGTAAATCTGAAGCTGAGACTGTGGCTCAGTTCCAATGGCACCCAAAACAGTAAATAAAATTCACAGAATACCCGTTTGTTAAAGCCAACCCGCATCGATTAAAAAACAGGGAACATGCTTGGGGTCCCAAAGATGAGATACAAATATGTTTTCCGATTCAGACAAAATGATTGGGCATGCATATCAAAACAATCACGTGTAGTCTACTCTACTGGTACATGTGGTAACAGTGCCAAAAGTGTAACTACAAAAAAAGGGCGATTGTGTGTAAACTTACTATCAAACATTGAGAGGTTATGTATGCTTGACAGAGTATATCAGTAGCCAGGAGGTGTCACTGTTACCTCATAAATATAGGGTTGTTGTTTTTTTTTCATTTAAGAAAAGTAAATATTTGCTTCTGTGAATTCTAAGTCTGAACTGGCAAATGAAAAGGACATTGAAAAGAGTTCAGGTGTGCTTTAGAGCAATTGAGAGATGGGGTGGAAAACGGGGGGGGGGGGCTGGCAGAAGAAGCCATAGTTGCCTCATATTCCAAGTCTGCAGCAGATTGGAAAGCACAGCTGGAATAGTTGAGCTTCAGCCTAGCAACAGCCAGTGGGTATTGGGCTTTGGTCTATGTTTAATCTTTACACCATTAAGGCTATGTTTATTGCTTCAAATGAAAGAGGCAGTAGGGAGAGGTGGCAAGAAGTCCCTGCCTACAGCATCAGGGGAGGGATATTTTCTGGCTTTTTTAAAAATTGGTAGTTCCTGTATCACTATAAGGTTAAAACACCATACCAGTTTCTGATTTTTAAAGAGCCAGCCCAAAGCCTACTGGTAGTGTGGGGGAACTGTAGGCATGACTGGATTCTTAGGGAAAATAGTTCCAGGGTGAGTTGAAAAGTTCAAGAAGCTGCACTTTTCTGTCCGCACCCTGACCAAATACTGAGTATTATCTTGCCATGGGACAGAGACGGTACTGGTTGCCCTCACAGATGACCTCCAGAGGCATCTGGATCAGGGTGGTTCGGCAGTGTTGCTGTTGTTAGACCTGTAGACGGCACTGGACACAGTCGACCATCAACTACTGATCCACCGCCTTGCTGACACAGGGATTCAGGGGTCTGCCTTGCAAT